AAAATATGTCCCCGGTAGGCAAAAAAGGTCCCAATTTGATCAGTTTTTATAATCTAATCTGTGCTTTCCATTGTTATAATTTGGTGAAACCTGTTATTCTGCTTAATAGTTATTTTTTTAAATCAGAACATTTACATTTTTATTTAAATTTCAAGCACGTTTTTTTTTTAACCACCCAAGCACAATCTCAAATTTCCAGTTCATAAAAGCTGCCTTCACGTTTTTGTAATCATAATTGTTTAAGTGTTTTACAGGTAGATCAAAATTAAAAAGGAAAAAATACAAACAATAAGCAAATTACAGGACTAGTGGAATAAGAAATGAAGTCGGAAAGAGGCAGCTAAATTTTAAATTAACCTTTTGTATCCTTTTAATTTTTTTGCTTTCTTTCTTTATAATTTGCCCCGACTGAGGTTACTTTTGACTCTTCTGTAAATTAATAAAATAAGGAAATGAATGAATAAATCTATTGGAACAATGCATTTATAGCATCTGCATTCACTGGCCACAGGTCTTGATTTCAGTTGCAGATTATATATAGCAAAGTCCAAAGTTTGTGTTAACATGAGAATTAATCTATGTTTATGTTGACTAAAATTTCTTAAGGAATAAATGTAGTTTTTAAGGTCACTTTCTAACTCCATAAGGTGTACCTACAAAAGTGTTTTCATATTTTTACAATTCTTCTATTTACTTTGATTTCTTTTTGACCCGCGACACCTACTTTGGGCACAGCTACTGTAAATGCTTCTGTTCAGAAAAAAACTAACACTTATACACATAAATTGTTAAGCCGAATTTAATATTGCACTTTGATTACTTTAATATTCCTTAAAGTTGAGCCCCAGAGTTAGCATATTTTGAAGAAAAGTTAGGAAAACTAGCAATTACCAGATTTTTGAATGGAGTAATGTTCCTCCCACCGATGAGGAACTGAACACCAATTGCCGTTTTGATTTGAAAAGTGGGCATGTCTTAGTCATGGCAAGGAAAGACAGCCCTTTCTATTAAAAAAAAAAATCCACGTACACTGCTCATCTAACGGTTTTTAAATGTGCATCATCGCTTCCAACAGCGACAATCATTGGAGAATATAAATGATCCTGAATTTCTCTTAAGTTCTGCCAACTTTCGGGGGAGCTTTGCGACATATGAGCGGCCATGTTGCTGGAAAGTTTAACTCCCTGTTCACCTTGTTCCCCCGAATGAATGCGCTTTTAGGAGCCTCTCACTCCTAAACTTTTGTACTTTTTAGCATTTAAAAGGAGACGTTTCACGTAACTACAACGTCCAGTTGAATTTCTAAACCACGCTGTGTGTTTTCAGTATGCTACATAAGACGAGATTTACTCACCGGGACTATTTTTCGGCAGGTATTCGCGTCCAAATACATCAACACAGAAACCCGTGTGACACCGAATTGAAGTTTCTTCACTCCCCCTTCGCTTTTTTGTGACCTCCACCTGAGTTAGGATGTTATCTTTCACCAGTCCCGTTATTTATTTCCGGAAAGAGCCATGTTTGTCACCCTCCACGCCCGCCCGCAGCAGCTACTGCACCGGTTGCTGCTGCTGCTGCTGCTGCGATGAAGTGAACTATTTTTGAAAGAAAGTCACTCCTCTCTGGTTCGTCCTGCTTCCTCCCCTTTTTACACAGCTTACTCGCTCAAAACCAACCCACACGACTAAAATTATAAGTACCAGTTTCATTTGGGGGAAAAAGATAACAGTATTATGTTTGTTTTTACTTCAAATCAGAAAGATGAATTAAATGCAGGGCCGGCCCAAAGTTTTCTGGGGCCCCAAGCTGAATTTGTTTGCTGGACCCAAATTTGGTTGTAAAAAAAATTTGTACACCTCATTAAATATTAAGAAAATGTCACATGTTGATGTTGGATCTAATTTATATTTGTATCTGGGAAAGAAAGTTATATAATTACAGTAAACAAATATTTTTTCAATAAAGTAGATCACCACTTATATTTTTCTGTATAACTTTTATTTTAAAAATATATTTATTAAAACAGTTACCTTTGATATGAAAGTATATTATGAGAAAGATCATCTATCTCAGAGCTACTATTCCCGTATGAAGAAATGCCCCACTGACGACCAAAAAAAAGCCAGAGGCAGGAGGAGGGTCTCCGCGCTGTCAGTCATCCTCAGGTACTTGCTGCTAAATGTGCCAATAGTGGCAAAACAACTTACAGTTACAGGAGAACTGTTTATCTGCCGTTACCGGTGGCTATGCTAACTAGCCTTCGCATTTACAACAGGCTTTCCTGATGGGGAAAAAGCGTTAGCAGAGAGCAAGGGGGTAATTTTTTTTTAAATGTATGTCTCATTCTACTCTGTCACAACGTAGTGACAGTTTCAACAAATATATAAAAAATATACAATTAATAAAATAATATAATAAAATAAAAGTTACATACTGCAGCTTTAAATATAAAGTTTTTTACCAAAAAATTGTCAAATGTTGATTTTGATTTTTATATTTATTTGGAAAATAATGTTATATAAACAACAAAAATGTATATTTTTTTTAAATAAAGTGGACACCCACTTGTATGTTTTCATTGGAACTATTTGAGAAATACAAGATAATTTCTAAATTATTGAAAAAAATAATGTAGCTTGGGAAGGGCACAATGCTACTTGGCTTGCAATCTGAGTGTATTTACAAAGCAGCTAAAGCAGGAGCGCTATTCATTTTCTGTCCATCCCCTCGCAGTTCCTCTAGACTAGCAGCAGCAATTAGCAAACACCTGGTGGAACTCATGAGCTTATAGAAACTACTTCACATAATGAGAAGAATTGTTGGGATGACATACTGAAGGCAGAGTGTTGGAAAGAGTGGGGGCTTCTTAAAGAGATAGAACCCAATTTCAAAAAGTCAAATTGTGAAGTCGAAGTTCTTTTAAGTTATGTTTCATATCATAACACATTTTAGTAACAGCTAAAGTTATTTTATTGAACTATAAAAGTGATTTATATTAGGAAAAAAAACAAACTTCCAATGGTTTCCCTAAATGTTTCTTACTGCCTTGTAATAGTTAACAAGTGGGTGAACAATAAATTCCCTAATCTGGCAATAAAATAAACTGTGGAGATTGTGTTTTTTCCCAGTTACTCATTTGCTCTACCAGACATGTCTGACGTACAGAGTTTCCACAGACTCAGCATAGGGACAGAAAGACTAGGGTTAATTTGTTGTGCTTATAAAACATAATCACAACATAAGAGTTAAAGTAATGAAATATTGTTAAATTACAGCAGCAGCGTTAAATTATTACCATGAAACATGGCCGCTGGCAGAAAAGTCAAGCAGCATTTATCAGGTTTTCTCTCTCTCTGTTTATTTCCTGGAAGTTGTGAAATTTAGCATGTCAGTGGTAAAAGACTCACAAAAACATACTCTCAAACATTCAGAAGGAAATATATTTACTAGTCCCAATTACCTTTCAATAGAAAGTTAAAGGTCTTTACTTACTGCTTAGTTTAACATTAATCAGCCAGGTAATCCCTGACTGATTTTTTTTTCCTGTAAATTATTTGTCAACTATTTTGGAAAAGCCTAGTGTATTTCCTATATGTCTACTAACTGAACAAGGATCAGAACATTATGTAATATATGTCAGAATCCTGGGCTTTCATTTACATTTGTGCTGTGACTGCTTCTTTGTTATTTATGTCTGTGTTCCTCATTATTGCTGAGCTCAAAGGTCTAAAGCTCATTTTCATTTTGAATTGCATCAAGAGCTTGAACATGTGTACACTTCAAAACATAATATTTCACCAAGTGTTTTTTTTTTCTAGTTTCTACTGCAAATATCTTAGTAAACTTGAAATAAGACAAAACTAGGGTAACTTACAGGTGACTTTTCAGCAAGAAATAGGAGCTTGTTTTAATATAACATGACAAAAATGTCTTGTTATAACTTATAAGTGAAAAAAATCTACTGGTGGAATAAATACTTTTTCACCAATATCAAGGAAATATTGATTTAAAACAGCTCCTATGTATACATATGCCCCTCAGCCTCCTGCCTGTGTCTGTGTGCCTGTGAATAGTCTGTCCTTCATGATGAGGAGCGCCCTCCTCCTGCATCATGCTGTGTAGAGGTCCAAGGTGGAGGGAAGGCTGCTCCCCACAGTCCTCTGTGCAGCCTTAACCCTCTGCAGAGCCGTCCTCTCAGCAGCAGTGCAGCTGCCGTGCCATACGGTGATGCAGGTGCAGAGAATGCTCTCCACCACACAGTGATAGAAGCTCCTCAGTTCTGAGCTCCCAACTCTCCCCAGCTTCCTGAGGAAGTAGAGATGCTGGTGGGCCTTCCTGACCAGATGCGAGGTGTTGGCACTCCAGGTGAGGTCACTGGATATCTGCACAGCCAGATACCTGTTGTTGGAGACACTTCCACAGCTGCTCCTCCAACGTACAGGGGATGAAGAGGATCCTTGTCCTTTCTGAAATCCACCACCATCTCCTTGGTCTTCCTCAAGTTGGTGCAGTGGTTATTTTCTCTGCACCACTCCACCAGGTGTTCCACCTCCTTTCTGTATTTGGACTCATCAGTGTTTGTGATGCATCCCTGCATGCATGTTATTCATCAGACAATAAAATTGAGTTTCCCTTTTAGTTAATATAAACTATTCTCTTTTTTTCCACTACATATTTCCTCTTTAAACGTTTCGATACCAAACAGTTTGATTTAGATTCATATCGTCTGGTCTTAACAACAGATAGGTCACGATGCACTATCAAAAATTTATTTTACGCAACTAAGACTTTGGCAAACAGTTGTGCAATGCAGCATGTCCCCCTAACGCTGACGGTGCAAACCAGCAGACAGCTGTATGTTTACAGTACCTCTGTAAACATACAGCGGTACTTCCCTGCCTCTTGTAAACCTGGACACTGAAAAAGGGGGAAATCCTGCTCAAAAGGAACTCTGACGTAAACAATCACAAATAAAAAGCCTGCCCACTGGAGCCTCTGCATCAAACACAGAGCGTCGCTTTGATGAGATTATTTTTAAGTCTGGGAGAAGAAGAAGCAGTATGATGATGTGGACACTTGGTCTTCAGCTGGTTGTGGTTGGTGTTTTCCTACAGGTATGGACATCTATACTGAAGAATTTAAGTTTCATAGATCTTGCATTTTTTAGTATGTTTAAAACCTTCACGATAAAGCATATTTTCTTTCATTTTTCTCATACATCAATCTGTGTGTCTTTTCTTCTTACACAATTTTAAAGTGAATTAAGAATGAGTTAGAACTATTAGCGGGGACCTATTATGCAAAATTCACATTTTGCACATTTTTATATGTCTCAACTGCTTCTAAAAACAGTCCAAACACTTAAAAAAACAGTCAGGCATTGACCTATTGCCATTCTTTGGAAATAAGTAAAAAAAATTGGAGGGTTGCTGAGGCAATCAATGGGCATTAAACTCCAGCACATTTTATCAGCTGGTTTTGCAACTGTATCCACTCTACAATGGCTGCTGGAAAAGACAAGCGTTTTGTTGTCGTCTTACCATCCAGAAACCACTTGATGCATTCTTGTTGGTTATACAGGAGGCTCTACTTCTTGCATAATTGTGCATCTGTTTGCACCCATTTTCACGCGAGTGTGAACGTTGAGTAGGGTGTTTGGTATTTTTAATTAGAGTGATAACACAACTCATTGTGAAAGAAGCTCAAAATGGTCAGAACTCATTATGGAAGAATCATTTTGCCCATAAAAATGTCATGAATATGTTTTGTATCCTAACTTCTTCAAGAAAGAATAAAAGGTCTCCTCTGAGATATATGTCATACACTATCTTAATAGTACCAGAGATTCACAATGTACTTTATTTTCTGAATATTTACTTGCAGATGCCAGGTTGCTTCCCATCATGCCTCATTGAAGGCTCAGTTGCCCTCTGTGGTTTTAAAAACCTCCACTCGGTTCCTCCTCTTCCACCTCACATCACCCATTTGTTCCTGGAGAACAATCGGATCGGTGAGATCAACGCCACCTCGCTGTCCGGCTTGGAGAACCTGCAGGAACTGGATCTTGGGAATCAGAAGGTGCCACTTGTCATCCAGAGCAATGCCTTCCTCAGGCAGAGTCGCCTTCGGAGGCTGGTGCTCGGGTTAAACCCTCGTCTTCAACTGGAACCGCTGGCCTTCGCTGGGCTGTCCAATCTCCAGAAGCTCCACTTGGATTACTGTTCGCTAAACGAGTCCATTCTGACAGGAAATTATCTAGCACCACTGTCATCTTTGCAGACTCTAAATCTCTACGGGAACCATATTAAGAGACTCCGTCCTTCACCGTTCTTTGCGAATATGACTGATTTGGCTAACTTGAATCTGGAGCTGAACAAAATTGATGAAATATGTGAGTCTGATCTTGTTAGTTTCAAAGGAAAGCACTTCACACTTTTTAGCCTTAAAGGTGTCTACCTGAGGAACATGTTGAATAAGAGTTTCGACTGGCAGAAATGTGGGAATCCGTTCAGGCGAGTATCTTTCCAGACTCTCGATTTGTCCTACAGTGGACTCAGTGTGGATAAATTAAGACTATTTTTCAGAGCCATTAGTGGAACAAACATATCCCAACTTAAAGTCTCTGGACACATAGGAAAAGGATTGTCTTTCAATAATCTCCCAGATCCAGACCTCGACTTTTTTGAAGGCTTGAAAAACAGTTCAGTCCGCTTTCTGGATTTGTCCAAGAACAGAATATTTGCATTGCATCAGAGGGTTTTCACTCCACTCACAGAAGTCACAGCTATTGATCTTTCTCAAAACAAAGTGAATCAGATACACAGAATGGCCTTTGAAGGCCTTCAGGGTAATTTAAAAACGCTCAACTTGTCACACAATCTGCTTGGGGAAATCCTTTCTCACACCTTTGCCTCTCTGACGAACCTGGAAATTTTAGATTTATCTCACAATCACATTGGCGTTTTGGGTTACGACTCATTTAGTGGACTTCCAAACTTGAGAGTCCTAAATTTAACAGATAACTCCTTGCAGGAATTAGGTTTTCCTGCAGCCTTACCAAATTTAGAAATCCTTAATCTGAACAGCAACAAGCTGACATCCTCATCGGTGAACACCATCACTCGGTTTGCCCATAACGTTTCCTCTCTGAGCATTCAGAACAACAGATTAACACAGATTTATTCATTTCTGGATCAGATGAAACGCCTCAAACTGCTTCTTTACGGGGGAAACACAATTAAGTGGTGCACCCTCAGGAGGCGCGTCGCTCCATTTAACATTAAAGTTTTGGATCTGCATGGGAGCTCTTTGCAGTCTATCTGGGGTCAGGGCAAATGCCTGGATCTGTTCGGCAAATTTCAAAATGTGACCAGTCTCAACTTGAGCTCCAACAGTCTGAGATCTCTTCCTCAAGGCATCTTTAAGGGCCTTTTCTCAGTTGAAACGATGGACCTCTCATCCAACACCCTCACATATCTCCAACCTGACGTTCTACCTAAAAGTCTGAAATCCCTCTATCTCTCCGACAACTTCATTGCCTCCCCAGATCCAATCGCTTTCAGCTCCCTCAGGTTCTTAGACTTGTCCAACAACAGATTTTACTGCAGTAATGATCTGCAGAGCTTCTTGACATGGATGAAACAGACGAACATAACGTTTTTGAGCCCAATAGAGGAGTTCAGGTGTGAATTTCCGGCTGGTTTCTATAACATACCGCTGTTAGATTACACTGGTCACCTACCAAAACACTTGAGAGCTACCAAAAAGGATAATTAATTAATTAATCCAAAATTGACAGATTTAATGATAATTTGATTTTCTTAACATTTGTTGTTCTCCTTTATCAAGAAGGACGACTATTTTTCCATAACATAAAGGGGAAAAAATTAATCAAATGCTGAATAAAAACAACCCCTGATAAATTACATTTTAACATTAATTTGTGTCAGCTGTATTAAATATTGTCTGAATAAACACAAAATTGTGGTTCTCGCGTCATTATTCTTCAAATGTAACAAAACAGGAACCTCTTAGGTTGCTGAACAGAAAAATAAAAGTTGAAAAGAATAAAATGTGAAACACTTAACCCATGTACAGATATATTTATACAAAAGTACTGACTATAGTTGCTCTTGAAGGAATGTTAAACCTTCACTCCATCAGACATCAAAATCAACCTTGTTTATTGGTATTATGCCAATTATCACGTAGCAATTTTTCACTTCGTCACAACCTCACCTTTAGTAGAGTAGCTTGTCCAGTGTTTATATTTCAAAACAGAACCGCATAAAGTGCGGATTTTTCTTCCAACACCAGACTCTGTTTTAACTGTTCCTCTTCTCCTGTCTGCTGTCACTCCGCCATCTTTGTTTCTGTATCAACGCTGCTGGTATCAAAGATGACCAGCAGCGCCCTCTGCTAGAAGGAGGCCAAACTGCAACACCAAAAGAGCGTCTAAGCCAGGGGTGGCTTAGACAACTTTTAGATGCATCTCTACTTCAACACACCTGAGTCAAATAGTGAGGTCGTTAGCAGGACTCAAGAAAACTTGACTCCGTGTTAGGGATGATGTTTTATTTTCGGGGACCGTCTGCAACCTTTACAACCCAAAAAGCCATTTTAGTCTCAAATGTTATTCTTTTGTGAAAAGACCATTTAAGGATTTTTAAAAGAATCACCAATTTATTTTTGTTCTTAGGTTTTAAAACAAAGAAAAACAGTAACATTTACAGAAAGAATATTGATGCATTTTTCTCTATGGTATTTTTGATATTTGATATATAAAACTGCTCTTCTTTAAACACTGATTTGTCTAGTTTTCCAGCTGCACTGCTGCTCACAGGCGTTCACTTTAGAGAATTGTAAAATCTGCACTGCAGATTGTTGGATATCTACATTAGTCCCTGGATGCTCCTCAAAAGTAAAAACATGTTGAAGGACTACTCTCACCCTCTTTTACTGTGCAGAAATGTGTCTTACATAAAATACTTCTTTATGTCTGGTTTCCCCCACTTATTCTGTTCTAATCTGAATCATGTAAGCGTCACAAAATAAGCAAAAACAGAAGAAATCTGTTAGCAGGTAAATACTTTTCAACTGTTTCAGTTATCGCTGGAGTCCTGGAATTCAAAATGTAGCAAAACTATATTAGTTATGTTATGTCTCATGTGTGAACCAGGAAACATTTAAATGTATTTACACTATATGGTCAGTAGGGGGAGCTAGAGGCCCAGTTCTTACCTTTGGTAGAATCTGTTTCAGTGAGCATTAACGGAAATAAACTTTTCATATAAGAAAATGTTTAATACACATTTAAAGAAATAAATAAATGCTTTATTATGAAGGGAAATATGAGAGTTATCAGATTTCCAAGGATATAAATTATATTTATGGCAATTTTGTATTTTATCCTTTTGAATAAACAGCTTAAAGTGAATACACATTATTTTATTTAGAATTTGTGAATCCATATTAAACAGATGAAAACATTTTAAAATAATTTATCCAACTAGAATTATTCTTCAGTTTTTTCATTGTTAGATTGAATTGTGTAGGTCACATGCTTTCCATATGTGTAAGTTCTGTAAAATTATAATATACTCGCACAGTATTTACTAATTAAATTATTTTAAAATCTATATATTCCCTCCTCTGAATCTTTAAGATGACTGTCAGTACTTGCAGATATAAATAAAGTATGTTAGAAATTAAAGTAAAGCTGAAATTAATCCAAAACAAAAAGGGAAATAAATAATGAAACAAACTTCCAGGAAAATGTTTTATTAAAAATTTTTTTGTTTAAATCAGAGCAAAAATAATTTAACAAAGTCTGGAAAACATAATTATTTTAGGATCCATTAATTCCCTGCAGTGTCTAGAAAGTCCGTTCACTTAATTGGGGAGCTGTGAA